CGTCGTTGCTGATCTACTTTCTCGGGTAGCGGGGGAGCAGGCGGTGAGTTGTTGGTGAAGACGACCTCGGAGGCGGTTCCGAGATCGGATCTGCCGTTGCAGGTGTTGGTGTGGTTGGCGCAGAATCGATCTGCACTGGCTTGATGATCTCTCCATCTCCGTCAGCATTGATGACCCAGGAGATCGATCCGACCATAAAGATCTGGCCAGGCTTTGGAGAGGACGAAGAGCCTACAAAATGTACCATCTTGTTCATCATGGAAATGGCACGCACACCCCTACCCGACGCACCATCTATCGATAGAATATCGTCGGCAGTCCTCCGAGGGGTATCCCACAAAGGTAGATTGATCGGCAGTGGTGCGCGTAATCAAGAACAAGAAGGCAACAGAGAAACAAGAGTTAGACAGATTCGGGCCGTCTGCACGACGTAATACCCTACTCCTATGGTCTATTGGTTTGTATTGGCTATCGTATGATATTGCGTGTGTTTTGAGGGGGTCCTCTACCCGCCTTATATAGCCGGAGGGTAGGGTTACAAGTCGGTTAGATCTAGAAGATAACCGGTAAGTAATAACAGATTATAGGAATCATGGGATCGAACATATCCTTACAGATCTCGTAGCATCTTCAGGATATCGCTCTAGATGTCTTGCAGTACACGCCGAGCAGTACCGTGTACCGTAGGTCTTCGTCTTGTGGCCTGGACTGCCCCTAGCAGCGCAGCCCATGTACTCTTCCGTGGGTATCCGGGGTCGTACCCCCCACAATGATAATTTTACAATATTCTATCTCAAACGTAGTACTTTGATTGTCACCAGACGTGCTAGAAAAAAGATAAATCTTAGAAATTATCACAATGATTAGAAACATCTAGCCTTTAACCAGATAGACCTTTAATCATCGTACCTAATAATAGTCATAGGATATATTCTAATTTAAAAAAATTTACCCACCTCTGCCGTTGTAAAAAATACATAAATTAACCTCCAAATTTTGCATCTAAATTACCCAACTCTACCATTATGAAAGATATTTAAAAATAACCTCCTAAGTTTGTATATAAATTAGCCACATCTCCTAGTATAAAAATTAATTCAAAACAACACCCTATATTTGCATCTAAATTCTCCACCTTTGCCATTATTAACGATAATTCAAAATAACTCACCCTAACATTGCATCTAAATTACCCGTGTTTTGAGTATGAAGATAATTCAAATAAACCTCCAACTTTGAATCTAAATTTACTACCTCTGTCATTATGAATGATAATGCAAAGCAGCTCCTAAGTTTGCATTCAATCTACCCATATAAGCAAAAATGTATGCAATATGTTTAGCACTATGAAACAAATCGTAGATTTATGCATGATCTTTTGTTTTCTCTCTTCACTGACAAAGACGCCATTTATTTTGTCAAATTCATAGATTGACAAAAACGCATTCAATCTGCAACATATTCAGAATGTACATTACTTAACTTATTCATTCTTTTAACCTGCTAAGATTTTTACTTCATTTTTTAAGAAAAACACGTGAGCAGAATAAGGTGTGACCATCAAGTTTATCAAGTGTGTGGCTTCTAGAATCAGTATATGGTATCAAGGATTTACATGCTAGATAATTTTTTTTCCTTTTTTATCATGCCTCAAATGTGTGTGTGTGTGTGTGTATATATATATATATATATATATATATATATATATATATATATATATATATATATATATATATATATATATATATATATATATATTTTGATGTTTGTTAGGAATGCCTGGACGGGAGTCATTGAAGCCTAGGCGGAGTGATGGTATATAAAATATTAGTCTCATACTAATCAACTTACGATCTTGGTATGATGATGATGGTACAGAAGAATCTGACAATCCACAACTGTAAATCATGGAGGAAATTAACGGAGTTCATTTGAACAATCCTACTTGAGGACTTTCTGAAGATATGGGGCAAATAGAAGTTATGCCAAATGACATTTGTTATAATTGTGAATATCCATCATAAGCCTTATTGATACTTCAAATAGTAGCTCGCATTTTTCATTAATCAACATATATTGAGTTGATGTTTTTTTGTTGTTAGATTAATGTAAATTCTATAGTAGCGACAATGCATTTTGCATTGTATAAAGTGTATGTTTCCATTCCTTGTTGATTCACAATGCAAGTTCAACTTGCAGACGTATAAATTGGGCCAATCAAATAATTAAAATTGTTGTATAATATATATATATATATATATATATATATATATATATATATAACTACTGTTCTGCAGCCGGCCATAGAATAACTTATTCTGTGGCCACTTTGAGTTACAATAATTACTATTCTAATTTGCGAGATTATAGTAACTCCTTACTAAGTGATTTACTATAACATTACGGTAAATATCACCGTGAGTTGTAGTAACACGAGTATCGTAAATGCATATTCATGTTATCGTAAATTGGTATAAACATTATCGTAAATCAAGGTGGCTATAGAATAAGTTATTCTATGGCCAGTAAATCACTTAGTAAGGAGTTATATATATATATACACACACAAACCTGTGACAAGTGTTGATGGATCTTGAATGTTCAGGCACCCTGGATTCTTTAATGTCTTTCTTCTTTTCTTGTGGAAGCTTGCGGAAAGGTCGAAATGGCGTCTGCTGTCCTGTCTTATTCCACAATTCAATAGAACAGGGGTAATCCTACTAAAGCTAGTGGTATGTTAATGATCTAAATCTTTACGCCAATTGTTTCCACGGCAAAGGCGCCAAAAATGTTTATTGGTATTTATTAACGCAAATAGAATATGAAGGATCACGTAAGCGCACAGAATACCGTTGTAGCATTTTACTTGGAATATTTCAGGTATCGTTATTTATATTTTACCACAGGAAAACAATAGAGTAAAGATTTATTGGGTAACAAAGGAGTATCTGTTAACATATCAACATAGCTAGAGCAGAGGATAAATGTAATGAAAGGAGTAATACTTAATGACACTCAGGTGATAAATCTAGAAGATAATGTAAACTAGTCAACTCGGGAGAACAACAGGTGAGGTAGATTTCTATGACATTCTTATTACATGGTCAAAATATATATACATCCAACTATAGCTAAAACTAACTCTACTTTGTGCACTTTGGGATGCCGCTTAGACGGTAGAGCATCCACAATAGATAACTCTACTGACGTGACTATGGTCCTACAATTTAAGAATCTGTTTAATTTGGCGTGGACTACAAAGGATAAACGGGACTGTCAGCACCTGCTGCTACCACACAACCAGAGAACAGGGTGTACTCACAGGCAGAGCATCGTGTAAGCATCATGCTTACATGAGGCTCGGCTACTTAGCCCAATCGATAAACTATAGCAGGCTAAGCGCTCTAGGAACCCGCACACAAAAGTAAAGCTTAACTAAGCAAGATTCATATTTAAAGTAAGTATAGCCATGTAGATAAGAATGATATAATGATAACAAAGTCTCATAAGATAAATAATTGAAGATACAATGGCTTTACCGAGCCTCCGAGACTGGATTCGGAACCGAGCAAGAGCCCAACTCGACCCTCACTCCTGAGCTACTAATCTACTACATTGGAGAGCTCTAAACCTAATCCTACTGGTGTATGTTGATGTGAATGAGAGATATGAATTAGGGTTTCAGGATGGCTCCAATGAGGGAGGTAGGGGCTGTTATATATAGGGGGTGGCATCAATTCTGGATCCTCGGATCAAACCGACTTGAAAGAATGACGAAGATGCAATCTAGGAGGCGGTGGAGAATCAACATTTGAAGAAGGGGCTGACAAGTGGGGCCCACAGGCTGGCTGACCTGTAGGTGGGGCCGCAGCCACCTACCCTCTGCTTCAGTGGTTTGCCTTCTGGAGTCTTCTAAAGTCTTCTGGAGTTGTTTTCGCCGTGGATAATTACGATTAAATCTGACGTTTGGGTCCACCCTGACGGTTTGTTGATTAAATCCTCCTACAAACACAGATTCATCAAAACTTGTTGAATTTATTAGTTTAAACCCCTAGACGTATGTTGATGATACTTTTTATGCATTTATATAAGTCATATTGACGATTTATGATGAACGTTAACTACCGTCAACACATATCAAGTTATCCTAAACGCTAAACGGTAAGCAGTCGGTCACCTGCCGTTTGTCCATTATTCAGGCAAAACGGGCGTTTAAACATTCAAAGCAATCAATTGAACAGAGATGGTGTACCACCGTGTAGTGTTTAAACGGTGTGTGAACGGCCTAAACGACTGTTTAGGTGAACAGTGCCACCTCGGTAGTTCATGATTTACTGAGGCCTTTAATTGAAGACGGTTGCGTCGCCCGCCTTCCTTAATCGTTTTTGTCCGCCAGTGGTTCAACAGCACGGTGAACAAAGCTGACCATTTGCTTGATACCGTAGAACCCAGCAGGCGACCTCCTACGCTATCACCTAATATTCTATTGGCGTTAATACGAAAGATTATGTCTATTCCAACTTATTGCCCGTGATTTGTGGTAAGCATATATGAAAACACATATTTTCCAATAAGAAGGAAATAGCAAGATTTTACATGACTAGGCTAAGTTATTAAAGGCTAGAGCACATTTCTTCTTAATACCAAAATTTCATTGGCCATTGTGAGATAAACAAAATTTTCTTTGCAGGAGAATAGAGTGGATGACATTCAATAAGTTTGCGGTGTGGACAATTATACCCACATAGAAGCGGAGGTTAAGGGTGCCACTTTCAATATGTATAGAACACAATAAAGCATCAGGGCTAGATGGGTCCATACTAAACTTTAACAAGTGTTTTGGAAAGTCATAAAGGCTGATCTTATGGGTATGTTCAATCATCACAAGAGATCAAATAAACCCTTTATACCATCAATTTCGATATTATTTGCTTACATCCAATAAGCCTTAGTTTCAATCAAGTTTTTTACCAAGGTTACGACATTGTTCGGCTGGCTGATCACGATGCTATGGCATTGGATTGGCAGTTGACACTGCTGGTGTCCGTTGTGACGATGATGGCGATGACAGCCATGCTTCTCTTTTTGTTTTTTCCTAACCTGACAAGTGGCAACTAATAATAACTAGTATAGTGCATGTGCTAACGCCACGACGTCATTTCAAGGATACACATAAAAACTTGAATTTTATATATACACATTAATCAAAAAGTCAGGCTTGGCACTGTTGATGAAACTTGAAATTTATATATACACACTAATCCAAAATTTATATATACACATTATAATCATATGAACAGCTCTACGCTTCCTCTGATTCCGAATCTGATAGTGAAGATGTCACTGAGGCGCCTTGCCACTGTTGATGAAACTTGATAATGACAACCTTGCAGTGAAGACTACCTCAAGTTGCTCGACAGAGAACAGCCTCCACTTTCAGTAAAAGAACAAGACAATGCATGTGTGGTGCTGACCATAGCGAGCATTCCTATATTTACTTATGAGAAACCTGATTTGTAGCATGAGAACTTAGTAATTAGTATAGTATTCGAGGGTGATCCATTGTAAAATACCTCTTGTCAGGGCCAAAACAAGTTTATGCGAGCTAAGGAAATAAGTCATTCTACATTACCAGCTGAAACATATTTCACTGGCATAAAAGCAAATGGCATTCACACCCCCAAAATGTTGAAGGACCATCAACCCTACTCCAACCTGAACACAGACCTGGTCCATCACGAAACAACAAGAGAGACATGTCGTAATAGGAAGAAAGGCATATTAAAGATACTTAGTGTAACAGCACGATACAATCCTTCTAAAACAGGTCCAACATCTAGCATCAAAAAAAAATTGCTCTTCCTTACGTAGCACCCAAAGTTCAAATTTAGAACCATACATTTTTTTGAGCTTCTCTCAAATTTAGAGCTTCTCTCAGATCCATAGTGTCACCATTTAGAGCTTCTCTCAAATTTATGAATCCATGGCATCATATATCATCAGCTACAAGTGAAATATTTCCTCTGCACTATTCTTTTATTTAACAAATCAAACCCTACATAAGTAGATGCAGCTAAAAGCAGCCTATGCACTCAGCCAGTTGTCGAGCTATACAATCTAGGACACATCATGTCTCAAACAGAAAATAAATCACAAAGGGAGATCGAGGAAGAAGCAGCAAACCTGTTTTGCAAGGTTGCAAGCACGATCAGGGGAGTTCAGGATCTCATAGTAGAACACTGAGAAGTTGAGGGCCAGCCCAAGCCTGATCGGGTGGGTTGGAGCCAGATCAGCAAGAGCAATATCCTACAAACAAAAAATCAACAATAATGAATCACAATTAACAAGATAAGCGCGGTGAACCTATCAACATGTACACAAAGATCAAACCTTAGCAGCTTTGTAAGCATTCATGGTGCTCTCCACAGCATCCTTCCTCCCTGCAGTAAGTAACATGAGTCCCATTTGCATCCAATTCGTTTTTATCAGAGAAAAATTACCACTAAACAGATTAGACAGCATGTTATCATTTTCCTAATTGGTTAACAATAATTTACAGGGCAACAGGCATACAAAACATACAACGATCCAAACAAATTTTTAACATTGTTATGAAGGGTGGAATGCATGCATTAAGGCAAGAAAATTGTATAGCAGGAAAAGGTTTGACTTGTAGTTATAATTAAATTCACACGGCTACCACAGTTCCAACTTTATTTGAGAGAAAACATCAGCAGTATGTATAAAAAAAAGAACTAACAAACTAAAGAATAGACTTGGTGACATACCCCAGAATAATAGCAAGGCCAGTCTGGCAAACTGAATTTTGCATCCTCGCCTGACATCATTTTGAAAAGAAAAAAAATGCATTCATTTGGTCAAAGAAATAAGCAAAAGCTATTCCCCTAAGCGTAAGATGGATGCAGATTGGAATCACTACCACATATGCGAAGATCACATGACAGAGCCAATTCTAACCTGCCACCGAAAACAACCCCTTTGACAACAGCAATTGTAGGAGTAGACAGTGCCTGCTTAAACATGATAGAAAAAATTACATCTAACTTTGAATTTTCCAAATTCAAGGTAAGTCTTAAAAAATATAACTTTGAATTTTCCATCTTTGAATAAAACTGCATACAGAGTCATGAACAGTATTCCTTAAAAATTATCGACAGGTAATTCTTAATTTGAATCATGAAGAGTTTGCTTTAGTGGATATCACGATCGAACTGCTCCAAGTTTAATCAACAGAAGAAAAACATATAGCAAAAAAAGATACCACATATAGCAAGGCAGAAACATTCGGGTCTGAATTTCTAATTACCTACACAAAAATCAACTGCAGGCAAGCATCTGACCCAATTCTAAATCACATACCTCCAAGATGTAGATAGGACTGGAACTCCTCTTCTCAGTGGAATATCATCGAACACCTACGTTGCACGCAAAAGCAAAACACGATTAATTTAAACATGACTGCCTGCAATTGCTACCTGCTCAAATTGGGTGAAATGCTAGACCCAACGTAGAGAGGGAGGTAGAGAGTGGATCTCACAGCCAGAGAAAGCGTGGAGGCCAGCGACGTTGGGGAACTCTGCCGTGGAACCAGCCTCCTGCATCAAACCACTCGGCCGTGGAGCCCACAAGCGCCGGTGTGCCGCCATGGCTGAAATCTACTAAGCCTGGTGTCATGAACAAAAGAAAAGCAATAATACTTGTCCTCTTGTATACGCCTTCATCTTTCTATGAGATTCGTTTACTGCAGGAACAAATTAGCATGTGAAATTTTGGAAAGAAAAAGGCGAACCAAGTGGATCTGCATGGTGCTGAAAGAAATTTCTCACCTCACATCTGTACAGGAAGAGGGAGCAGGGTTGGTGTGCACATATCATCGGCCTTCTTCCACAATCAAAATCAAAACAGGCTAAAGTATTGACAAGTTACAACCTTGAAATCAAAATCATACAGCTGAAGGGCCTTCTTCACTATCATCGATTACCTAATATGTAGAAATAGACTCAATCAGTTAGTCAAAATAAAGAATTAGAAGAATGAAACGATATAAAATCTAACGTTTTTAATAGTCTCCTTTGCTTACATACTACCAAAGAAAGGAAGTAGGCAAGAGTAGGCTATAACTCCCCTTATTGCAGTTGCAATATATTCTGGACACATACTGGATTGTGGACCATGAAAGAAGGAATGCCATGTTTCACCACCCCAATGTGATCCAGCAATTAAGAAAAAACTTGAGAAGCGGTCCACATTGTTCCCCTCGGGGAGAATCATCACACGGCTGCACGAATTGCTTTCCCGCAGACAGCTAAAGAACCAAATTATCCGATCCCTTTTTGTGTAAAATTGTACATACAGAAAAAAAAACATTCAACAGAGGTTGTTATTTAATGCTAAATTATCCACTGAATAGATACAGTTCGTGGCACATCACATGGTTAATGAATCTTGTTCCAATGCAGAATGCAGGCATACCACATTTTATATTGACAATAAAAAAACAGCTATGTCGGAAAGGGAATCGAGCATTCACTGCCATCGCACCTGATATATGCCCTCAAAAAAGAATTTCTCTGCTTCACCTGAAAGTAAGCTTGGCCTCACTTCAACCAATGCATCAACCCACTGAAGATATCACGATAAATAGAATGGAATGATATAAAGAGAAGGTGATATCGCTTTAACTTTTAGGGAACAATTCCATCCTGCTTGTATTGCCAATTTCAGAAATCAGAAAAACGTAGATTAGGGAATAATTCCATCCTGCTTGTATTGCCAATTTCAGAAATACGCAATCCTTCATAGCTGAGACGACTAAACCAGAAGACGCTGGGAGCATAATCACAGAATAGACGAAATTTACACGAGCTAAAGTTCACTGAAACAGAAGCAGAAGGGTGACCTTTGGAGCGACAGCTCCTTGCTCTACCGCATGTGGGGGCCCGCGGTGCCTGTGCCTGCTTGGCGGCGCCCGTGACTGGACAGCGGTGCTTGCGATTCCGGATCCGGCGGCGCCTGCGCACGGTGGCTCAGCGGCGCTCGCGACTGGTGGCCCGTCCGTAGCTCGGCCAGGACGACTAACGACCGGCACGCGCACGGCCCTCCAGGCTCGCGGGCACCGCGCGACCGACGCCATTCCTCCCGGAGCCGGCCGGCCCTGCCTCCTCCTCGTGGCCGCCTACCTCGCCCCTGCTCGCGTCGCCTTGGAAGCCGTCGTTGGCGTCATGCTTCCCGGTCCCGGCTGCTGCAAGGCCGCCCGGCTGTCCAGCCGCCGCCATCTGGTCTCGCCCCGCCGCATGGGGGAGAGGATGAGTCGCGCGTGGGGAGAGGAGTCGGCGAGGCTGCTCGACCCATGACTGGAGGCGGCGGCGCTGGCCGCGCCCCTAGATGGATGCTGCTCCGCCGACCGCGCCCCTGGCTGGAATCCGCGCAGCCGGCTGCGCCTCCTGCCTTGTCTCCGGTCTAGGCGCGCCTCCTACGTTGTACCCGTCCTCGATCAAGGGTTCAGGCTAGAGGAAGAGAGAGATGCACGCGCGGCGGGGGTGAAGGGCGCCGCAGGCGCGTCGATTGGGGGGCAGAGGAGGCGTCGCCCGCCCTCCTGGCCACCGCCCCGGTGCGTAGGGGAGAGGAGGACCTGGGAGGCGCGCCGGACAGAAGATGAAAAAAAGAGCGCTGAAGAGACGGAAAAAAAGAGCGGAGGAATCGAACCCTGGCCGCCGAGGGGGTTCTGAGTCGTGCGCTGGGTGAGCGTGAGGTGGGACGACTGATGCGGACTGACCCGATTTGGTCCGTTGAATATGAGTGAGCAAGAGAAAGGGACGTACACATTCAATCTCGTCTTTTCATTTCAAAAGTTTTATTGGGTGCATTCTTTGGTTTATTTAGCAGAGTTTATGACCGTAGTGAATAATTTTTTGTGTGGTTGTAGAGAAGTTTAATCGGTGCATTTTATATGTGGTAGAGATCCAACTCGGATGATATCCGGAGGAGCTCCTGCATGTAATCGTCCCCAACGTCCTCCAGCTCGACAACGCCGCAGTGGCACTGGCTGGGCACCACCGTCTGCTGCAGCTGCACACTAGCCACAGCCATACTGGAGCTGAACGCGTCGGAGCATTGCTGCAGCACCGGCTGCTGCAACCGTGCCTTGGTAGTAGTACTATTGCTGACGTCGATGACAGGTGAGACGACGACCTTGCGCCTTCGCGTCCGCTTGGAGTGCCGCCGCTTGAGCGCGAGGACAGGTGAACCACCTCCTGTGCCGGGGAGCTGGAGCTGGAGCGCCCCGAGCGACTCCATCACGCGCTCGACGGGGAAGTTGAGGACGGCGGCGGCGCCGCGCGCGGAGAAGGCGGCCTGGTCGTAGGCCAGCGCGGCCGCCTCGGGGGTGTCGAAGGTGCCGAGCCACACGCGGGCGCCCTTGCGCGTGGAGTCGCGGATCTCGGCCGCGAACTTGCCCCACGGCCGCTTGCGTACCCCGATCAAGGCCTGCCGCTTCTTGCAGCGGCGGGAGGCATCCGTACCCGGGACCCGAAGCTGATTGTCGCCAGTGTTCGCGGTGGTTTTCGTTACCGCTCCCACTTCTGGGCAAGTTGGGGCGGAAGACGACCAGTCGAAGGACACCACCTCGGCGGCGGGCGCGGGCTCGGCATCGGTGCCGAGGAGGAAGGCTTCAAGCTGCAGTAGCATGTCGCTGTCGTCGTTCGTGTCGATGGCAGTGGCAGGGTAACAGTAGGAGGGGTAATGCTGCTGTTCCATATCGAGCTGATGTGTTCGACGAGCTACTAACTAGGAGACCAGGAGAGACCGAAGAAGATGCTAGCCGGCAGTGAGAGAGACAAGGCACGGGGGATTTATAGCCTCCCTGTCCCTGGTCCCCCGATGCTTGATGTCCTGGACCTGGAGTGTGGATGTGGATCGGAGGCAGTTATGTGTATGACCTACGTCGAAGCCGCCATTCCTTGATTTCACTGGTCAGCTAGCAGAATGGTGGCGCTCACACGGGTCGTCGTCGGGCGGCCTGATAATGATAAGAGTAGCAGGACAATGGACAAACCCAAAGTACCGTAAGTCGGGCAGCTTCCTTGCTTCTTCCTTCAATTCGTCGTCGGTCTCAGTAGCCACCAGCAAGTAGCTCACCACATTTTCATCAAATTCTATAACCAGCCACATTCCACTAATCTCCTCAAATAAATTTAGGAACCTTATTATCTTCATCTTTCTCTTGAACCACATGGTAAGAAAATCAAGAACCTGGTTTCCACCATTGCCTGAACTTAGAACCTCATCATTGTTCCGTGTCCAGCTAACAAATTCACGCTTGAAAAAAAATTAAAAAGACAACACATATCTCCTCTGTCTTCAACAGTTGCCAGCCGAAAACTTGTTTACAGATACCGTAAAGGAACCTATATATATAGTACAATCGTCACTATTATTGTTAGTCAAAAGCTCAAAATCAATGGAGACCCTATGGATGACCTATTATTTTTCGAATTGGATTTTAATGTTAAACTCAATGTGCGAATTTGGTTAGACTTTTCGTAGTAATAATGGACTGATTCCTAAAGAACCTTGCTTTGCATGTTACCCTTCAAAAACATCCTACCTTTCGCCACAGAAAAGATAAGTACCACAGCAAATGAAAAAAAATGGACGTTTATTTTATACAGTGGAAGAAGATACAAGAGGATGAAACAAATAAATTCATAGAAGTGACATAATCCAGGAGAAAATAGGCGTTTCTTTACTAAAAACAAATTGGTAGAAAATTAAAATTCAAGTTGAATATAATCTCAACCACTCCCATTAGTGAGTTAGGCATAAAAAAAGATGTGTGATAAAAATACACTAAAAAGAATAGATTAAGAATGAATGGTGTGCAGCTTCGGGGAATCTACGGGTGATGTATTATTTGTCCCTGTTTGCATCTAGCACTAATACAAGCCCTATGATACTAATTCAATAGATCCTGCATTATTTTTTAGTGGAGACAAAGACAATAATCAATCCAGTGTACAAACTATAGTTTTGCTGGACAATGACCAGCTTTGTCGTTGATATTACTTATTAATTAACTGATGGTTGTATCTACTTAAGGGTTAGAATTTTGGCAAATTTGTTGGACATATTTGCAGCAAAATATTGTGGGATAAGTGTCGGTGTTTCGAGTAAACACCAACAAGTAAATTTCTAACATTGCGCGTCTGGCTCAGATGGTATACTAAGACGACACGAGGTTTATACTGGTTCGGGCAGAATGTCTTTACGTCCGGTTCGATGCTGCTGCTCGTGTTACTAGCACTTAAAGTTTGTAGCAGGGGTTACAAACGGTCGAGAGAGTGACAGGTCCCAAGTCTCTGGTGAGAGGAGCGAACGGGTGCCGAGAGCTCGATTGCTGCTCAGCTATGTGTTCGAGGTTCGAGTGTGATGTGTTGCGATGCTCGTGGATTCGATCCCCTTAGTGGGGTGCCCTGCTTTCTCTTTTATAGGCCAAGGGAAAGCACGGGTTACAGCGGATGAAGAGAGGAGATCCCGAGGGAGATAAAGTTCTATATGGTTGTCGGGCCTTTCTTTTTCCTTCGTGCGGGTCCCGCCGGCACTGCAGGTGGTGACAGGGACGGCTCCACGCCAGGCGCCTGTCCGACGA